GTTCAACAAGCAAAGTGTTGTTGAATTTCACTTAACTCACTGTTTCATTTGCAATATTTCATCTTTTCATATATTTGACATTCTAAGTCACATATAATTATTTTGTAAGTTACTGTCAGTTACTGGCAATGTTTGTATTTCACAAACAATAAAAAAAGATTAAGAAATGTGTAAAGAAGTAGATTTGAAGTTGTGGATTCTGGGAGACAATTATTTGCTGTAGATGTTTTTAATGTGTCAGTGTTGCTTCAGGCTGATTGATGCAATGATTCAATATATTTTCACTAAATGAAAACTATGACACCTTGTCTCCCTGTTCTCAGTCTGCAGGTATTTGACTCCAGAGCTGCACAATCCAGATCTACTCAGCTACAATCTATTATTCATTATTATCATTGTGACTTCTTACTTACTGATGCTGCTGTCATTGCTAGAGTCAAATGATATTACATTTTTTAATCTATTATTGTAAAACTGGTATAGTGCTTGAATACAACAGTTATCTCCCTCTGTCAAGTGTCACCAAGAGTTCATTGAAATAATTAAATTGAGTGATTGCTTGGAGTGTGACAACAAATACAACTTTAAAAAAGGGCAAGACTCTTCTTTTTATTCCATTTTATGACTCAAGTTCAATTGTAGAGATAAACGTGTTAATATTAAGTTACAGGACATGTGACATTAGACTATTCTATGTGTATTAATGTATTTACGTGTTCTTTCCTCAGTGATAAGATGTTGTTGGTAAAATATATTTTATTGATTCTTGCTCTATAGTCAATAAGCATCATTATTTTTGATTAGAAGTGAAGATAATAAAACATTGAGCTCTTTGTGTTTGTCTTTACATTTTGATAAGTTTATTCTGGATTTACTGTCTAACTCGGAACAGTTTAGCAGAGATGCTACCACACATACACAGAAAAATAAGTGATCTTCAGACAGGAGGGGGCGCCAGTGCTCTGTGACTAACATGAAAATCCACGAGAGCTTGTCTGAAGAGCTTCTGTCCTTCAGCTTCAAGTTAATACCTGTTAAAAAAAAAAAAATGTATCAAATACAAAAGTCAGACGTGTGTATTATTTGTGTGAGCACCAGTGATCATGTCCTCACCTGTAGTAGTTTGGTTTGAAGGGCCCTTGTTTGCTGATGCCCAGATACTTGGCCTGATCATCATTCAGCTCTGTGAGGTGAGCCTCAAATGTCGGCAGGTGAAGACTGGCCACGTACTCATCTGAAAATACATCACATACACTTCATTATGTTCAAACTCACTCAACCCTCTGCCTGATTACACGATGTGTGTTTCAGGGTGTGTGAGCAGAGGACTTGCCCATCTTCTTTGGCAGCAGGTAGACGTCCTGTTTGTATCGTCCCTCCGGAGCATTGTAGAGCTCTATGAGAGCCAGAGCCTGAAGCACAACAAAGTTCCCTTTAACACGTGTACAGGTGGGTTCTGATACACGGGAAGAAGAATGAATAGATCCCTGTGTTTGTTTATTAAGTAAACCCCTAAAGACGGTGTTATCGTACCTGAGTTGTAGCAGTGATGGAGAGGACAAACGACGGCACTGTGGAGCAGCTCAGATTCAGCAAACCACCCTGAGAGGAAAAAATTGAAAACTGAAAAATAACAATACGACACAACCCACTGATCATAACCTCACGGAATGTGTATTAGAGAAAGATCAACTTTAACGAGAGGGGCATTCTGAGTCAGGTCAAACAACCACAGCCAGACCTGATCTGTCCAGTAGATTTTAACTAACAAACAAACAAACAAACAAGCAGATGAAAACACAACAGAGGTGAAAATGTTCAGGGAAATCTGTTCTTTCTGCTCGACTAATCAGCACCGAGCCCTTCAACCACAGAAGAAGGCCACTGTAGTTCCAACACTTTCAAAATAAAATTCTGGTAATGAACAACCTAACAGACTAAAAACTGAAATAATAGTTAAAATTCACTCCTCACCCACCTCCCTGGTTTATATTGAACTTACATTACATTTCATTAACTCAGCGTTAAGTTTTGGTGTTATTTGTATTCATCAGACAAACTCTACCTGAAATATATGATATATAAATGCCATCTATACTTGCATGTATCTATCACAGATGGGTAGTGCAGTGGTACGGCGGATAGATAGATTCTGTGTTGTTAGCTGTGTATTAGACAGGATAATGTGCGGAGAGCCAGTTAATTAGAGCAGCCCCTTCAGGATGTATATATTTCACAGTAAATGTGTCTCTGGGTATGATCCCTCGGTAGTGTTGTGTGATAATTACAGTACTAACAGTATCATCACCTCAGCCAGCAGGACAATTCTCTTGCCGTCGGGCCAGATCACATGGTCCACCTGAGGCCTCACACGCTCCCACCTCAGCTCCGCAGCCTGCAAACTCACCTGGGAGGCAAATGTTTCACACACACGACCGTATGAACATGTAGAGATCTACACACACATAAAAAAACACACAGGATCACACACAATCACTGTTTTTACCAAATCGATCTCAGTGTTGGAGTGTCCCATGTTGCAGACGATGCAGCCGTTCTTCATTCTGTCCAGATGTTCCCTCCCCACCACGTTTTTATTCCCTGCAGAAAAACAGATTAAATTGCGTCTGATGAAAACAGACATTAATGTGATGTAGTCTATTGATATTCCCAGTGAGAGTATGGATTTGTAAAGTTACCGGTGCAGGTGATGATCAAGTCCACCTGTCTCACCACCTCACTCAGTTTAATCACTCTGAAGCCGTCCATGCTGAGGAGCAAGAGATGAGAGAAAGGGTTTTATATACAGGGAAACACTTCGCATCTGTGCTGATAAAAGCTTCCTCCATTCATACCAGGCCTGAAGGGCACAAATGGGATCCACCTCTGTGACGTACAGGACTGCACCCAGTGCTCTGAGGGCGGCGCAGCAACCTTTACCAACCTACGAGGAGAGAGAAGAAGAACGAGGAGACAGTGACTTAAATTTAAACTTAATCATTTTAGACTTGAGTTACCCAGAAGCAGTTTTACTCACCTCCCCATATCCACACACCACAACCTGTTTTCCTCCAAACATGACGTCAGTGGTTCTCTTCAACCTGAGAGAAGAGTTCAACAGTCAGATCACTGCACCAGTGTTTTAACCTGTTTAACATCACAACATGAGTCCTCACCCGTCCAGTATGGACTCCTTGCAGCAGTACAGGTTGTCAAACTTCTGCTTGGTCACTGAGTCGTTCACATTGATGGCTGGGATGCACAGTCTGCCGGCTTTAGACAGCTGGTACAACCTGAAACAGTCATAGACACGTGTGAGCCGGAGAATAATGTGTAGAAAGGCAGAAAGACTGGAGCATTGTGGGAAACTAACCGATAAACTCCCGTAACACTTTCCTCCACGATGCCTTTGACCTTCTTGAACAGACTCGGGTACTTCTTATAGATCCAGTGGGTCAGGTCGCCTCCATCATCCAGAATCTGACAATGGAGACAAAAACAGATAAACTGATAAACTGCACAATCTTTGTAGCTGCTAAGCATAAATGGAAAGTACTGTTCACCAAAACTAAATAAGGTTTATTTTAAATCAATAGTTTCACTTTGATTTGTAGAGATTTGAAGATATTGATTGTAAAATGTTATTATTGTACAAAAATGTATGGAACAAACAATAAATATAAAAACTGGTAACATTTCCTGGGTAAAATAAAAACCTTTGGTTTACACTCCAGGTAAAAAGAATAGAAATAGTCTGTTTCAAAGAGCTGCACAGTTATTGTTTTGTGCACAGTACCATGTTTGGCTGCCAGGTCTCGGCTCCCACACATTGGTCAATACACCACCAGAAGTCGTCCTCTGATTCTCCTCTCCACGCAAACACTGAGGTGCCTGAGAGTTTCAAGAGAGGCACAGAGAGTGTGATGAAAACAGAAAGTGAAAATGGACCCAACAAGAGACAGTCGTACGGAGGAGCAGCAGGTAAACATCTGTTTTTACCTCCTTCTGCCAGAGCAGCAGCAACAGCGTTCTGGGTGGAGAAGATGTTACAGGCCGCCCAGCGACACTGAGCCCCCAACGCACACAGAGTCTCAATCAGCACCTGTAAGACACAGACAAAGACACAGTGGGTCATATGTCCAACTTCCATCAGTCCTCCTGAACTCTGAAGATAATAATAATAATGACTTAATTTATATAGCACCTTTAAACGCAGGGTTTGAAAAGTCTTGACAGAAAATAAACTTACGGGCAAAATGCATTTACACTGATCATGTAAAAGCAGTAAATACAGTGTGTGTGTGTGTGTGTTGCACTGACCGCCGACTGTGCAGTGATGTGTGTGCAGCCCACAACTTTGGCTCCGGCCAGAGGTTTCTCTCCACCTACTCTTTTCCTCAGGACCATCAGTGCTGGCATTTCTAAATGTCACAGACAGAGTCAAAACTATCACAGACATCATGAACAGTCTTCATAAATGATAAATATTGTTGTATTTATGACATTTTCTTTATCTTTCTTGCATAAATAGAGGGATTGTGTGTTTTCACCTTGTTGTGCGATCTCTATCTCTCTGCGTCCAAAATCAGCCTTCTTGATGTTTTTGATGCAGAAGTCTGAAAGGCCTTTGGAAGTCTTCTGAACTTTGCCTTTGGGAGATGACTCATCCTCTGAGCTGTCACTGCACACTGCAACACAGACATTACACATGTGTATAAGAATCATCAGCTGATGTACAACAACATCTTTCAACAAAAATGGTTAAAGCACTGCAGAGACATGGTTTGTTGGACAGCTTGTATTTGGGTCTGGTTGTGTTGTTTCTGATGCCATGTTTGGTATCAGACTCCAACCAGGCGAGTCTTTCCTCTGAGCCTTTGAAAGGATCCTTTTCCATAAACTCTGGCAGCGATTGACATGTTTGAAAAAGGCTCACAGAGCCGATTAGCACCAAATTAAAGAGACGTCATTCTTCAGAGGACCTTTCCTTTTAATTAAGATTTAGCTGAGGGAGGAAGCAGGGAGGCTAATCCTCAAGGCCTGTAGTTCTCTTGCTGCTAGGATCACAACCAGCTCAGTTTATATTTCAAAGACATGTGATTAGAATTAAGCGTGTGTGTGTCTGCATCTGCATGTTTCCATACCTGAGCTGTGGCTGTCTGTAGACGACTGTGAGATGGAGCGAGACAGAGAGCGACGACCTGTCTTGGCGGCACGTTTGTTGAGTTCTTGCTTCTGGTCAGTGAACTGTATTTGCTGTGGAGACAAGAAAAGAGAGACACAAACACACAGAATACGCACGATGAGAAGGAGACCATCAGTTGTTATTCCACTGCAGGTCACAACATTATGATGCAGACACATTTGCACATAAGCACATCACAGCAGATTTACTAGGAACCACCATAATTCTCTCATTGCTGAATCTGATGCTGTCTCACCATCCAGTGTGGCTGTCTGAAGGCTGAGCAGCTGCCACACGAGTCCCACTTGGCC